CCTGCCGTTCTGATTTACAGGAAGGACTTTTTTCAGTCTTGATGTAAACACGTGGGCTACGTGATTGGAGTTGATCACACTGTTAGTGCTTAATGCAGATAGAATTAGAATTAGAAGTGTTCTTTGAGATTTACAGATGGTGTGTGTATCCTTCGTGCCTGCTACCCCTGCTCTGAAAGATCACACTTTGGGGCTGTGGTTGAAGGGGAACTGAAGAGGTTTGGGTGCATTTCACCTGACGTCCTCATGCATGAGTGAAGGTGGAAGGCAACTTTGTCTCTGCAGATACTGCAAGGGTTGTTTTCTTAAAGCATTAATTGATAGACTGGATTTGCTCATCACATAAATGTGCGTGTAGATCATATGTTAAAGAAAGCTGTTGATTATAAACCTGGTTTAAAGAGCTATAAAGTGTTTTCTAAAGATAGGATTTGTCCTAATACAGTGATTGTAGACAAGTGGCATGCTTCTGTCGGAGAGAATGAAAGAACATGGAAATAAATAAAAAAATTACGGAGGAGGAAATGTGTCTTAAAAACATGATTTTGTATGGAAGCTGGGCTGGCACAGAGTTCTGTGTGAGGTTTGCTTATCTGTTGAAAGATTACCAGTGCTACTGAAATTGATGCCTGCTTCTGCAAGAAAATGTGCCTGGTGTTTGATCTTGACAGACATTGTTGAATGTTAAAGACGTGAAAGCATCGAGGACTACTGATCATCTCAGTAAAATAAAACCACCAGGCAGCTGACCGCATCCAGATCCATGAAGATGAGATAGTTGTGCATCTCTGCTGCCCAGAAACAAAGGAATTTTTTTGCACTTCAGAATAGGAACAGGACAGAAGTCTCTTCCTGTATGACTATAGTTTCCATAATTCTAAATGGTATTAATAACTGCTTTACACTGAAGAATTGTTGTATTGCTTTTGTTTCTAGAAAGCTGGTTCATAAACCATCTCTGTCAGACTTTAGCAGACTCCCAATTCCTGATCTTTTTATTCTCTTTATAGTGGACCTCAGCAAGGTAGTAAGAGAAGCAAAACAATTTTATTTTTTTGACCTTGTGTATTGGGCCATTGAAGCATGTTTTTTTAATCATGGGAGCAGAAGTGCCCGAATTTCCTACTTTGTCAAGAAAATGATTAACCCTTCCGGTGAGGCAACGCGAAGTCTCCCACTCCTTCTGGAGCGGAAGCATTTCTGTGGTTGACAGAGGATTTCCACACCTTTGGTGCGACTGCAGCGCACCAGCGTATCTCCCGTGTTGAACTGGTCCTGCCAGACCACTGTTCTCAAAAGGCAGACTAACAAGGCAGGGATGAACTTCCTCAAACAGTCAGCAGTCCTGGAAGTGAGACAGATGGTGGAAAGATCATTCATTATATTTGCAAGTTTAGGGCTTTACGCAATTGAAATAGTGACCAACATAACTCTATACAGCTTAGACAATGTTCTGAGTTCTTTTGTTGTGCCTACTTGCAGACACTTTCATCTGGACCGAGACTTGTTCTTCTGGCCACTGATGCTCCATGTTCTGCTTTTTTGTTATTCATTCTTCAAGAAATCCTTTTGGGTCAGGACATCTGTGCTGATACAGCTGTAGTCATGTCTGTTAGCTGGTAGAGTAGCAACAAAAGGAGAACTTTGGCTTGGGAAACAATTCTTTTGACTGGGATGAAAATATCGCTTCCAACAAGATTTTCTTTGGCACAGTCTCTGTTTTTCTGCAGATTGGCTCAACTAATTGTGTCCTGTTTGTGACCCAGGAATTGTTTCAGCAAAACCTCTCTGCTCTTGTGGATCTGTTCAACAAAGAAATGGAAGATTTAATTTCAACTGCATGTACTTTTATTGCTCTTTTTCTTGCAAGCTCAAGACAGATGCTGCAATTCCTTTTTGTTTAAACTATAGTCATTCTCAGTGGCAGAGTTCCCACCTCCTCCATCAAATACCAGTCATGGTGTTTCTTACTTGATCTTGTCTGCTTTGTTCTCTAGAAGAAAATCCAGCTCTCTAAAACTTCATGTGCAGGTGGCAAAGCTTTGGACAAAGCCTTCTGCTGGAGTAGTGAGAACTTGTGCCAGGGAACCTCTTGTAGACCTGAGAAAATAAACTTACTGTTCTGTGCTCTGTTTTGTAGGCTACGGAATTTTCTGGGCAATCCTTCTTAAAGGTCAAAACCAGAGCGGGATGCAAATGATGTATTCTGTCACTGAAGTGTGATTTATTTTTTTTTCCTTAAATGTAATAAGCCAGCTTTGGGCAGTAGTTCTCTAGGCAGCACCAACCTATTTCCTCTGTTACCTCCCCAGTATAATCCTGTTCTTCTGATACTCTGTTTATAAAGTATTTTTAATGGCTGATTTTCCATAGGTAGCTGGGAGGTTGGTGAGCTTTTCTGTGGTAAGCTGTTTTTACAGTGCACAATCAAAGTGATTCTTGGGACAGTTTCATATTTTTCCATGAGATTAATTCAGGCTGCAAATCACAGGGATTTAAGCATTTCTGCGGTCCCATATCTGCTCCTGCTAGTAGAGTCATTGCAGCCTGTGGATGTGTTTAATTTTGAAAATTGGGTTTTGGGATTTTTTTTTTGCCCTTGAAAGGTCCAAGAAGGGAGTAGAAACGCTTCTAAATCTGTGCTGAAGAAATAACAATGTTAAGGAAGCTATCTCTCTGCACTGTTACAAGCTGTGTCTTAGACTGCAGATCCCTGTGGGTACGCAGGCTCTGTCAGTATCAGCCCTCACTTGTGAGAAGAAAGGCTATTTCAGACGTGGAAAATCAGTCCTACCTTTTGCTGTAATGTATAGAGACAGTCATAGAATTTTGACTGTCTTCTCCCGTTGGACTCCTCTTTCTGCTGGGAGCAAGAAACTAGGATTGAAGTGTATAAAACCTGGAATATGAAAATAGAATACAAAACAGACTTGAGTTCCACCTGCAAGAGCTTATTCCTGTTGGAATCATGAAAAACAGAAGGTTTTAGATGACTTGCTACTTAAACTGTTCTTTGGAGATGTCTTAACGAAAGAACCTCTCGGTAATTTTTTGCTGTTGGGTGGTTAGAATAGAAACGTTTGAGAATGCCACAGAGGCTGGCGTTACAGTCCTTGTAGCCAGTCATGGCAGAATGCTTGGCAAACAGTCTTATGACACTCTTAATTATTATATAAGATTAAAATCAGAGTTGAGACTTGCAAACGCGATGCTAAACTCTCTGTTCTCTCAGTCCCAGATGCAAACCCAAGTACAGCAAGTGGGGATCGTGCCGACGCAGGCAATGGCGACTGGACCAACAGCAGACCCGGAGAAGCGCAAACTGATCCAGCAGCAGTTGGTTTTGCTGCTCCACGCTCACAAATGTCAGAGGCGAGAGCAAGCGAACGGAGAGGTGCGGGCCTGTGCTCTCCCGCACTGTCGCACCATGAAAAATGTCCTCAACCACATGACACACTGTCAAGCTGGGAAGGCCTGTCAAGGTGAGAGCGCGTTGCTGAAGCTGCTCTTGCAGACGAGCTGCGTAAGGTTTCTTGCGTGTTTGTCAGCAGTGTTTCTCTTCTTGTCAAGAAGATCCTTATACCTGGCACAAATGAGTGCCAAAACTGGTTCTTTAATTAAACAGCTGCTCCCTTTTTCATTACCTTTGCCTGGTTTCCATTTCTGATCTCTCCACAGTTGTCAGTTGGGAAAACAGAATGTAATATTTGCACTTCAGGATAGTACCAGTGGAGCCTTGCAAGCATCTTTTTCATCTCCTCTGTTACACGAAAAGGGTGTAACATCCATTATGTCTTTGTCTTAGACTTTAGTACTAGTTTCCAACATTTGTTACGGCGTTATTGGTGGGTCCCAAAAAAATTTAGTTGTGTTTAGCTGTGTATAGTTCTATGTGCAGTGTTGCTTTTAAAGGAGAAAGAATAGTTACTCTGAAAAATGAGTTAATTCAAAACCAGGGAGTGACCTTAATTCTGTTGCTCTTCCTTGTTACAGTTGCTCATTGTGCATCTTCAAGACAAATCATCTCCCACTGGAAGAATTGTACTCGGCACGACTGTCCTGTGTGCCTTCCTTTGAAAAATGCCAGTGACAAAAGAAATCAGCAACGTAAGTAGTTGTTTTCCTGCTGTCACAGCGGAATGATACTGTTAAAATAAAGTTGATCAAGTATGCAGTGTAGGAATAAACTTTGGCAGTATCCCAAGAAACTTCAGAGCTGTTTAATAATCTTGTCTAAGGATTAACATACAAGTGAATTCTCCTTTCTGGTCACTGAATGCAACTTACTACTGAAATACACAATAATTGAAAAGAGAAAGTCTCAGATCAAGTGCACATGGGTTTTTAAAGGGTGTGGCAACTTCTGCCTGTTGGTTCAGTTGTGAGGCAGGTCAGTAGATTTCGGTTATAATGCTGTTTTGGGTGTAGGGGGGATTTGGACGAAGACATAAACTCTACTTCGTTATTTTTCTTGCTGCTAGAAACAATTCAAATCAGCGTGCTTGTGAAAAAGCATCAAATTCTTGTGCACAGAAAGATCCGATCTGGATGTCTAAATCATTGAGCGAATTTAATGCTGATATAGACGAGTTGGAAGTTCCGCAGATCATGGTGGTTTTGCTCATGCCTGGTTTTACAATAGCTGTTAGTGATGCTTGGGCACAGTCAGGTTTCAGTGTGTTTCTTCCCTCTTGCTCTGAAACAGAAGATACTGAACTTACATTGGTAGGTTTGCTTCACATCACATCCTTTGAAAAGATGCCAAAGTAGAACATTTGAATTTTACAGCATAGGTGAAGCAATTCTAGAGGTCTAAGTGATGTTCTGCCTTGGTATATTTAAATAAGGGCTAAGAAGTGAAAAATAGCTGGAGAACTTGTGAAGCTTGTACATTGAATTACATTGGAAACATTCTGCTAATTCCCATCTAGGCTGAGACTGCAGTGAGGAACACTAATAAACCTTGGAGGATAGACAAGAGCTCCTAGGTTAGGTGAGATTAAGGCAGAGGAGAGAATAGCTGGTGAGACTTGCCAAATTAACTGTTGAGGATGCCCTCATTACAGTTTCAGGAGTGTTTTCCCTCTAAAACTAAAAAAAATATACAGCTACTTGGAGGTAAGGATTTTGGTTTTGTTTTACTAAACTTCTCGGTAAACAAGGTAGTCTCGTATGTTGAAAGTAGTAATTTGTTGCAAGTGATTAGTTGTGTTTGGCCTTTGAAAAATGTGCTGAAAGCTTTGCTTTTTAATGACATGGTCCATTTGTGCATAACATCCTTATTACACAGTTGTTATCAAAATGCTAACAACCTCTAGCACAATAGGATTGGGGTTTTTTCAGTACAAGCTGCTGTAAAAAAGTAGCTTGTGCAGTATTTGTTTTTGCATCAGTCAAACAATTTATCAGAAGGGGAGGCACTTGAGCAAAAGCAGTCCTTAAAACTAATTTTGTTATGGGATCCAATAGGCTGGTGTTTGAATGCAATAGAATTACAGTGGATAAATGTAGAGTTTGGTCTCTTGTTGCACGTGGAGGAGGTAGATATGAAATCTCCCTCTTCTATTCAATTAATCAACAATTCAGTGGTAGTAACCGTGAAAATTTGCAGCTTTGTGAGCGGAGGTGGAAGGTTTTGTTCTGAATTATGTCTCTAGGTCACACATGTAATGCCTTGTCGTTTGTTTCAAGGTAAAAGATGGACACTAGAAATACTTGCTTAGATATATTATAAAGGATACCCCTTTGTAGGCATTGAGAAATGTTTGGGTCTGGGTACGGTAGAATATGATCAGAACATTTCGAAAAGGGAAAAGAAATGAGAAGTATAGTGAACCTCAGTGTATTTGCCAGGCTCCTGTCCTTACAGAATAATTGACCACATGCTGGTCACTAAAGACTCCCAGAGCCTTCCTTCCCGTGCTCGTGCCTGTTTCACCACTGCTGTTTCGAGTCCTGTTGTGTCTATGCTGGGCTTTCAGGTGGCTCCTTCCAAGATCTTTTTAGAAAGTTCAGTGCTTCTGGAACATTGCGATGTAGTGCCTTGTTTCCACCCTTCCCATGCGCAGTGGCTCACGTGCTCGTTGTAGCTGTCTGTTCCCGCTCCTTGGAGAATTTCCATGCTGAAAAATTCCTTGGTTTTAGATTATCACCATGGAGATGTTTCTGTACAGATGTCTTGCTCCGTGATTTAGCATTTATGTTCTTTGCAAAGAACATCTCTGCCACGTTTCATCTTTGTAGCTTTTTTCCTTCTTTGAGTAATCTTGAACCGTCTTACGGTAGTTGTGGATGGTAACGTGACTTACTAATGGCACATGTTGGGATAAGTTTGAAATTCTTTATTCCACGTGGCTCTTAACTGTGTATACCATGTATATCTGATGGGTAGGGGGGAAACTGCAAAGCAATTATTATTTTGCATGTGCTAAAACGTTAAGCTTATTCTTTGGAATAGGCCAGCAACTGCTGCGTTTTGAAGTAAGGACTTGAAACTTGGTTGAAATGCTTTGGAGTTGGACAGTTGTTATTGTTAGGAAGTACTTCTTGCTCGCTGCTGAGCCCTCCACAGTTTGAGTTACGAACTCTTGCAAACAACTGTTGATAACATTTCCTAGTTTTATAGCTCTACCATAAGAATTATTTTCCTTAAGATGCATCTTGTTGTGCACGTGTTCTGTTCCTGACCTCGGGCAAGTGTGTATTGTGCCACCGAACAGCTACTGGCCATGCTTCCCCTGCAGCTGGTGATAAGTGTGCTCTGCTTGCGGTGTATTATGAGACAGGCCATCGTCATGCATTGCTTGATGTGCTTCGTTCCAGGGTCTGGAGACACTGGAAAATCTTTAGGATTCTTGCTCCAGCTGAGTGAGACTGGGAGGTGGAGTTAGGAATGTGGAACTAGTCTTCCCTGTGTTTTTCCTCGTAGGAAAATTTTATTTAAACTGCAGTGAGGAAAAAGCTGGATTGAGGAAGAGCAACAACTAATCTTCTCTAAAAATGTGATTTTGAAGAAGACTGGGCCAGAAATTGTGGACTATGTGGATTTGGTAAAGTAGAGTGGGAACTTGATGAAGGAATTAGGGACTAGGAGCTTTGCTGGCTGAGGGAGTAGGTTATTGAGTATGGGCAGGAAAGGAAAGACCACCTGGATGGAGAACATTTGGGAACTAACCCTTAGAGGAGTTCATAGGTGCGCAGGGAGTGTGCTCAGAAAGAGTAGCCAGCAACTTCTTCACTGGAGCCCATTTTCTGTAAAAACTGGAAATGAAAATCAGTTTGCTCAAGTCTTACTATCAGTAACTGTCTGTAATATCAACAAGAGTATCTCTTGTTTTCTCAAGTGCTGGAAATCGTACGTAATGGTGACCAGTTCTTCCCCTGAGCTGCATGATGTAGATGGTCAGCCCATGGACTGAGAAGTTCATTCATTGACTGGTGCGATGCTTTTGGTGCAAAGGCTTTCAGTTTAATGCTTAAGTAGAAATTAAAATGGCATCAATGGTGAAGTTTAATGCTGGGACTTCCTGCCTTTAATTTGCTCATAAAATCTTTCCTTACTCCATGATTTGGTTCCTGATACAGCCTTTAATGAAGCGATCATGTACACTTACCTTTTGTGTATCTGCCTGATTCTAGCTGCAGGACAAGCTTGTGTTGAGGTGAGTTAAGGTTACCAGCAGAATGTTTGCTCCAGCCACTTTGAACTAGAGTGGATGTAACGAACAGAGTGAGGCGTTGCAGCACAGAGCATTTCAACTGTGCTGAACAAGTGTCAGTTACAGAGTTTGAAAGCAAAAGGAAAAATTGGATTCAGACTTCTCAAAAACAGAGTGACGTGTTGCTTTGACTGGGGTGGTCAGGTTGGAGAAATACTGGGTGTTCATACTTAAAATAGCATTAAGAGCCTGTGTTAAAAATAAATTCTATCAGCTGGAGGGGTAGAGGGGTTTCCCTTTAAAAGATATAAATGCAGTTTTGTTAAGGCAGCATTATCTGCTTTGCACATGGAAACAGGAATCCTGCAGATCAGATAGTGTTTGATCATTTTGATTATATCCTAATGCATATGCCCAAGAGGGCTTAATCTGGACTGTGCAGGAAGTTCTGGGGCTATTTAGCTTCTGCTTGTTTGAACTTTCACTCTTAAGGTATATAAACACATGTGACTTTCCAACAGTGGCATATATGGAGGTCAGTTGTCTTTAAAGGATTTCGAATGTGAGCAGTCCTGTACAGAGTTAACTTCACACTTGTTGTTTCTGTCATGAGCTCATCAATGTCTGAAGTATGAGTTAATTTTTAAAAAAAAAATCACAGATGTTGCTTCATCTGTGGTAGTGGCCTAATGTGTTAACTCCTGTTTGTTTCAGTGTGGTATTTGTTTTAATTAACTTGTTTTCCTATGCTGTCTGCCACAAAAAGGACTGCATTTGCACTTAGTGTGCCCGGTTTCTATTTCAATCTGTCAAGCAATAAGATGGAGGCAATGTCACATGTTCATATAAAACCAGTGAACAAGCAGACACACAAAACCTCCTTCAGAATCAGGTTCCTGATGTTGTGAAAATACTCAGTGTGGTCTGCTATTCATTGAGTGGTAAAGTATAGAAAAGCTGAGACCAGCTCGTCAGAGCCACTCATTTCCACGCCGTAAGTCTACCGCTGGCTATGAGACTGTGGTCTGTCCCCTAATAATAACACTTTCGTTTGAAGTGTTGAAGCGACCTGTGGCTGTTTACCAGCTTTAGTGAGTTGTGCCTGCGTGAATAGCTGCAGGCACACATGTGGAACTTCCTGGAGATCATTAGTCTTTTCAAACTGCAAGTCAAAATAGTGGTTTTCCTACGTTGTCCCCTTGTGATAATGGTAGTGGTTCTATGCAGAAACAGTGGGGCTTTTTCTCTTTAGAATAGGCTCACTTGCCGTTTTGTCACGTTAAAAGTGACATTCAGCCTGTCAGCTGTAGCAAATACCCAAACTGAGTTTTTATAAGTAGTCTTTGGTCCTGGGGCAGAATTAGAGGTCTGGAAATCGGATCTTGCTGAAGTAGACTTCTCTAGAATTGGCTGGATTGTGGTTCGTAAAGCTGCTCTCACACAAGGACTGAACTTGTGCTTCATAACAATTGATCCCACTGCCAAAACTCAGCCCAAAGCTGTGGCCGAGAGGTGGTTGACTTCTCCAAGCTCTGCCTTAGCTTCAGTATGAGTGAGCCTCAAGCCAAGCTTGCAGTCCTCAGAAGATCAGTGCTGGCTTTTTTCCCCAGCAGAGCGTGAGGAATGATGCAATGCTTGGCTGTCCTCAGTGAGAGAACTAGAAGCCTTGTTCCTGTTCTCAGCCTTCAGCATCAGCCACAGCATCATTTAGATTAGAAAAGACCTTGAAGATCATCAAGTGCAACCTGTGGTCGTTCTGTCCCCTCCAGAGATGTGCCTCTGATTCTCAGCAAATGCTAAAAGCGTGTATGTTTTGTGTTGATAGTTTTGTGGCTGAGTTTTTTTGGTAACTTTTCCAGAGAAGTATCATCCTCTTTCTCTGATAAGCTGAAATTGTTCTTATCTCCTGAAACCTTTGCTGTGACAGCAGCCTCTGAAGCCTTTTGAATTCCAGGGTGCCACAAGCTTTACACCGTCCAGCCTTTCTAGAGACTTCCTATTTCTTGATTTGCGATGGTATAAAGGCATCTTGCTCTTGAACTGTGTGATTCCAGAGTGCTATGCGCAAGCTCAACAAGAAATTCATACAATTGCTCTTTAATATGCCCTTTTTTCTAATTAAATTGATAGGATCTCAGTCAGCTTCGTCTTTGTTTTTAAACTCGCATGGACATGATCAGTAAGTTCAGAAGTTATTATGAATGTCTCCACAGAGTGTAAGCGTATGTAAGCCTAATTTCCATGGTAAAAACCTAGTGTTGAAAATACTGAGGATTGTCCTTGGGGAAAAATGTGATGTTTTCTATGAGACTGCTTATTCAGGAGGAGGGGGGTCGGTGACTATATTTGCAGTTCTTTGGCAAACGAGATCAAATTGAATTTTCATCTGGAGAGGGAAAAGTTTGGACTATAATGTGTTTCCTCTTGGATGGAAGCTGAAAGCACGTGTATCTTTTTTTGGTGATTCTCTCAGTAGGGGGTAAGAATTTAAGAAAGCCTAGATAATGCTGTTAATGTCTCAGAAGGCTTGTTTTCCTGATTTATTATTTTTTCTAACCATGTGCCTCACCTAATATTTCAATAAAACAGCTACTGTTGCCTGTATTAAAAGCTATTATTGTTGCTATGTTTAGCTCAGAAATTTGTAATGCACGTTACATATTTAATTATTGGAGGGGGAAAGCTGAAGTACTTATTACTTCTGCAAGAGTCGTGGTTAACGAAATGCGGTGTCTCCGTAGCGAGGGGTGTACTCCATGTGTCACTCACAATTCACAATGGAACGTGTTATTGCTGAGGATGGCAGCTGAAATGAGGAGCAGAAAGCAGATTTGTATTCGCTTCTGGGTTTAGGGAAAACTACTTCTCCTGTTGTTTCCATTTCCTATCTACAGTAGAAATGATTCTTCCACTCACCTGGGCAGTGAGAGAGGTTGGTTGGTTATGGTGGTCGTATAGGTTAATGAATACCAAAATATTACCTAAATGGTTTACCAAAACCTGTGGCAGGCTTTCTCACACTTCAGATTATTTCAATACAATCTGAAACCCATCAGGGCTTTTCATATCTCTGAATAACTTGGGTTTTAGGGTAATTTGGTCTTCAGAGGATTCATCTAGTGACTGCTCGGAATGAAAATTTCTACCAACAGATCTTCAGTATTACCTTTGTGTCCAAGGACACAGTATTTCTGCTGAACTCAGGATCTCTGTTCTGGAGCCAAATATTTTGACCTAAAATGGGATTGATGGGAAAGAGGGAAGTAGAGGAATTAATTTTTTTTTTTCCCCCTCTTAGTCTGCTGTCCCAAGCATGTCCCCTATTTAGCCTTATACTGGAGCCTATACTTTATGTATATTACAGTAATTGTGGGCTTATCTGCCCAAAATTTACAGCTCTTCTCTTTAGACTGCATGTATTAATTACTAGGGTGGTTTCTGTCTTGTAGAATCAAAGGCTGAGTTTCCCCACTTGACATCTTGGGTCTCGTTCTGTCCTTTGGCAGAAAAATGTATACTATATGACTATATGCATGTCCTGTTGATTCTTGGCATGTCTTGGTTTATTGCTTGTCCTCATTGGTGTTCAATTTTCTCTTATTCTTTTTTTGTTTTCCTTTTTTTTTTTGTTTCTTTAGCCCTTCTAGGGTCTCCAGCTGGTGGAATCCAAAATTCCATTGGTTCTGTTGGCGCAGGCCAGCAGAATACTCCATCGCTAAGTAACCCTAATCCAATTGACCCCAGTTCCATGCAACGAGCCTACGCCGCTCTCGGACTGCCATATGGCAACCAGCCTCAAACACAGTTGCAGCCGCAGGTACAAGGCCAACAGCCCGCGCAGCCTCAGGCTCATCAGCAAATGAGGACCATTAATGCACTGGGTAGGTGGAAAAAAAAAAAACCCAGAAAACAAAACACAAGAAACTAAGGTGTTAAACCAAACTGCCCAATTTTTAGGATAGTCTAGCGTTTCGCTTGACCGGAGTAGTGACTTTCTGTTCATGTGGATGAATAATTTAAAATGATGCTGTTTATAAACACTACCATTCATTTGAATATAAGAAAGCAGTGAATGTATTGCTTCTGCCAAACAGCAGTAATTTTATTTTCTTTTAAAATGTGGTTCGTAGTTTACGTTTGTCTGAGGTGTTCGGACAGAATTGCTGAAGGGTTTTGGGTTAACATGTTATTTCACCTGTTATAGCAGACAGTTCTGTCTCAAATGCTGATTTCTTTCTAGAACTTAATTGTTAGTATTCTCTTCTGTTTAGCTTATTGAGCTAATCTTAAAAGTTTATGAATTTTAGTTCTAACAGACTAGTTTTTGTGGAAAATAAAATGTTCAGACTGAAGGTAACTTGATTCCCTAAGTAGCCACATACATGCATCTCAGCAGATGTTATCGTAAAAGTACTTACCTGCTAACCTCTTTCTTTCGTTAGCCAGGTCAGTAAAGTGTAGTTTTGCCATGTTATTGTCAAAATTGTGAGCTGAGTACCGATGATGTTTAATTTTGTCCCAAAGGAGCCAACCAGATGAACCTTCCTGCAGGAGGAATAACAACAGACCAGCAAGCCAGTCTAATTTCTGAAACTGCTCTTCCAACATCCCTTGGGACAAACAAGTAATGCACACGTTTTCATTCTTGGTCAATTAAACATTTATTTACATGCTTATGAATGTAAATAAAGAGCATGCTTTAAAACCTAATTGTATTGGCATGGAAATGAACAGTCACTTCATAGCTACGCTCTTCTTTCCTATTTCAATTCTGTTCCTACTGCTTTGTCCCCTAGAGAGCCCCAGAATATTTATTAGTTTTAAATTAATTCCCAAAGGAAGAATATTTTGTGCATTTTAGTGTACAGATACCTTAAGAGTTGTGATTTTTTTTTTTTGATCGTTCCTACTGCATTTTGTAAACTCCTGGGCTTTGCTGCTTTTAGGCGTTGCAGTTTGTTGATATCAGAATTTCGCTTGGAGAACGTTTGATGCAATAGCTAGAAGTGATGGAAGGAATTACTCAAAAATTACTTCAGGCATCAAACATAGAGCAAAACTCCAAGTTCTTGTGCTGTAACAGTCCCTTTTCTTTTTGTTTTAGCCCACTAATGAATGATGGCACAAATTCTGGCAATGTTGGAAACCTCAGCTCAATGCCAACGGCTGCACCTCCTTCTAGTACCGGGGTAAGGAAAGCATGGCATGAACATGTCACTCAGGACCTGCGCAATCATTTAGTGCATAAACTGTAAGTATTCACCAAGACTGTGTGTTTTTCCTGAATGCTTTTAAAGAATTTCAGTACAGCAGTTCTACTGTTAAGCTGAAAAAGTTTTGAGAAAATTATTGGTAGTGGTTCTCAGGTGCTGAGCCACTGAGGATGAGCTCTTATATTTAACCCTCCTCTTGAATTAATTCTTCATTCTCATTAAGGAGTGGGCAGGAAGTTAGTCTATATTGCTAGTAAATTTGCTCTGTTGTAGGAAACAAGTATTTAGACTGTTAAACTTCACCTTTTAATCACTGAATTTACTTGAATCTTGTGGGAAATAGTACAGTACTGATTTATTCTTAATAATTGTGATACTTTTTTACATACCTGATGTAGAAGGGAGTGTCCAGGCTAAGTATCATAAAGCTGTATTGAATTATTATTTTTTTTTTCTTCCTTCCTTGTAGTGTCCAAGCCATCTTCCCCACTCCTGATCCGGCAGCACTGAAAGATCGCCGCATGGAGAACTTGGTGGCTTATGCCAGGAAAGTGGAAGGAGATATGTATGAATCTGCTAATAGTAGGGTATGTTGCTTCAGTCCAGCTATTCACTATATGTTAAAGAACAGGAGTAACATAACTCTTATAAGCGTAATGAAAACCACAGAGAATCATTTCACTGTCCTCTTGATGAGGAAAGTCAAGCTTTGTTTACAGCAGTGTATGTATAGTCCCAGGCCGTCTCATCATTGTCGCTTCAAGCTAGTTCACCTCCCTCAGCTCCGTGAAAGCTGGACAACATCATCCCAGCCCTGTTTGCATTCCTCCTGAAAGTGCGATTCACTTGCATGAGGCTTGGAGCACAGCTTGTCGTTCTTGATTTTTCCCTTACTGTCTTCTTTTTGGAAGTCTGTGTAAATACTAGTTTTAAAACTTCTTAATGCCTCTTTTTCCTGTTGGAGATTTTCCTCTAGGACACAGCCCTGCTCTGCTGCTCACCTTTTACCCACACTGTTGGAATTACTTCTGCTCAGCAGCACCAAGAATGATTTGGCCGAGGCCCATAGCTCTGTCGCATCTTGACAAAATAAGTCTGCGTTTCTCCTTGTACATGGGAAACAAGACAGAATTCCTGTTCTTGTTCATGATTTTTGCTCTGTCTGCAAAGAGGTGTCAGTTCAAATCCCTGTTATTCAGAGGTGTCAAACCCTTGCTGATTGACATGCTGAGGAGGCTGTTTCATTCTGACATTCTGCCCTAAAGGAACCACTCCCTGGAAGTTGCCATCCAGTAAAGACAATGGCGGCAGCACCAGTAGTGATAGCTAGTGAGATGTTACCTCATAAGCATCTTGAGGTCCTTTCTTAAATGAGGTCAGAGCACCTAAAGCGAGTAGTTGGTGACATTTCAAGTGATGATCATCCAGTAAGACAGTAACACTTAGTCTGCCTCTCTCAAACCGTCTCCCAGAAGAGCTGAAGAAGGAATCCAAGTTCTGTTTCCTAGAGGCAGATAGGCAGTGTTCATAACGGTGCTGCTGTGTCAGCATCGGTCGTTGACAATATCAGATTCTCCTTGTGGCTCCCAAGAGGTGGTTTAGCATGGAAGACTTGTGTGTGATCACCTTTGATCACTTGGGCAGCTTTAGAGAAAACTTTTTAGAGAGAATGAGGATTTCGTAGACAGGCATGACATCTAAATACCTGCTCAGTGAGGATGAGCATAGTAAACTTCTGCTTATAAAGTTAAACATCATCTGACCTGAAAGCCAGACAAACACCCAGAAGCATCTTCTCTTCACGCCTTAAAACAGCTGTCAGAGCCTTGTTGCCAGAAGTGTGGGTTTTTTATGGGAATTCATCTAACGTGCTTGGCTTCAAGCAGCAAACTTGGAAGAAGGGAATCGTTTAGGCGGTATGAATGATGCTCTTTGGAATTGCATCCTTCTTTTTGCGGAGTGTGTGTTATACTTGAGCATTGAAAAGCAGGTTAGAGTGAGGCATGATTGTGAGCAGTGGTGCTCCTTGTAAAAACATCCTTTTTCAGGAATCTTTGCAGTGTGAAAATTTGCGAGGGAGAGGTTATAGGTGAAGCGTCTTGAACAGGAGGAGGGAAGGGGCTGTTTGCTTTTAAATTGAACGGCAGAAAGTGTCTGCACCGCTGAGTTTCTGAGACATTGAGGAGGGAAGTGCCCAAAACCCAAGGCTTTGTATTGCTACCCTGGGCTTTCTTGAAAGGCTGGTGAGGAATCCCTGTCTCCTATTAGTTTTTTGAAATTAACTCAATCCTGCTGTAATAACAAATTGTAGTTTTGGTGAAAATCGCATGAAGACAGAATGATTGTGGAACAAGCATTGCTCAACCTTTGCTCTGGGTAACACTGGGTTTTAAGAGGGTAGGTGACCCCACAAAACTGTAGCCTTGAGGGTTTGTGGTGGTTTTGCCTTTAACAGGTCCATCGTCTCCTGCACTTCACAGATGTGCGGCCAGCAGTTGCTGACAAGCAAAATTGTTTGCCATGCTGGGCGCTGGGCCTGTTGTTTCTGATCTGTTGTCAATGTGGGTTGAGTAAAATGGATTTTTCATCTTGTGCAGATATACTGTTTAGTTGTCTGTGCCTGTGGATGATCTTTCACTCATTTCCTCCGTTCCTTTGGGGTTCTGCCTGGGTTTGTGTATTCCCTGCAATGACCATTGGTACTCAGATTCTTGAGGAGAAAAGCGGTTCCTTTCTTTATGTATAAATTGATCTGTCCTTAACATGTATCTCCGGCAGTTTATTCAACGTCACTATGTTGCTGGGGATGTCTTTTTCTTTCATCTGTGGATTAGTGGAAATGCTGATTCTAAAAATAACACCTAAAAATTATTAACAAACTAATTCATGGCTTCTTGTTGCTTTTTGTTCAAGCAACAGAAAACCTACAGTCTTTGTCTACTAATCTACTCTAAGTAGATGTAATGGATAGCAGTAAAGCCATCTTGTATGAGTTTTTCTAGAAGCTTTGTTTTTCCATTTCTGCATTAAAGCAGTGATGAAGCTGTCTCAATTTAACAGAATTCTAAAAAGAAATATTTCAACAGACAGATGTAGACTTTAAAAAAAAAACCAACCCAAACCCACAGGTGACGACACAAGTTCTGTTGCTGCTTTCTTATGCTTGATGCTGAGTACTAGTTTCCCTTTTTTTTTTTTTTTAGGATGAATACTACCACTTATTAGCAGAGAAAATCTATAAGATACAAAAGGAACTAGAAGAGAAGCGGAGGTCTCGCCTACACAAGCAAGGGATGTTGGGGAATCAGCCAGCCTTACAGACCCCAGGCCCTCAGCCCCCTGGGATCCCGCAGGTGGCTGCTGCCATGGGCCAGGCACAGCCTGTCAGGCCACCCAGTGAGTACTTGCAGAGGAAAATCCTTCTGCATTTCACCAGTAGCTCTGCACCAGTTGTGTCCCCGGGCTCCCTTGCTAACCTTGTTTTTGTATTTTAAATTGTCTTTGTGTTTTAAATGGTCTTCGCTGACCGTTCTTCTGTTGTGTTGCAGATGGGCCTATGTCCATGCCAACCGTGCCTATAAGTCGCATGCAGGTTTCTCAAGGTATCTATGTTTTCCTCTCTACTGTGGGTTCAAAATAATTCTCAGGGGGAAAAACTGATCTTCTGGGGATTGTTTGGAGTTGAAGTTGAGGGGAGCTACTGGGTCTCCCTTTTCTCAGCATCAGTTTTTGTTCCTCTGTGGCAGGAATTGTCGCAGTGCAGTCTTAAGAACGGGCTCGGTGCTTTGCTGGCGCTTGGGAAGTAATTCAGTCCTTTCAAAAAGAGGAGAGCGCAAGCAAGATTACTGTGGATAATCTCATTTAAAACTCTGTAGCATTTGGGGGCAGGGAAGGATGTTGGCGTGTTTTCATCAGTTAATTAGTCAAAAATACACCTGTAGCTGGAAACTTAATGCATTGATCCTAAAATCTGTGTAACTAATGATATTCTTTCTCAGTTTCTGATGCAAAGTGCCTCTAAAAAAGCCTTGTAGCTTGTTTGTAGCACCGATGGCTTGTCTTCAGTGATTTAGACTGCTGTGGATTCATGGGTGTTGAGATTTTGTTTCTGAAAAGCACAAACCCGTGATTTTTAGATGCTTCTGCTTCCTCCAAAAAAGGATCCCCAAATATTTTGTTTCTTGATTGAACATTGGTAGTAAATTGAAACTTGTCTTGAAATGTCCTTGAGAAGGTCTAACCTTTTAAAATTAACTTCAGTAGGAGAAAAAGTCGATAGCAAGTATAGCTCTGTAATTATTTATTTGCATATTTATTGCTGTCAGAGAAGTTTGGGTGTTGTGGAGGAACTAAATGTTTTGTATGAAAGGCACAATAACTTCTTAAGCATATTGCTAGCTTTTGTCCTGATTTGAGACTAGGAGTTGCTTTCGTATGTGCAATATGTATTTTTGTTGTATTTAGTTCAAGCATTTCAGTGAGGCTTGAAAAAGACATTGCTGTTTCAAGGCAAATACCTGATTTTAAGAAATTATCTCAAGGTATTACTTACAAATAGCATCTTGTCTTTACAGATCACCCACGCTCTTCATCTTTTGCAGTTTTTTTAGACACCAGAAGTTACATTTCACCCTAACTAGCATTCTTTTAAATATTTCTCTCATCCCAATTTGTCTCTTAAGCAGAGTGATTTGGATGACAAAAAAAAAAATGCCGTGGAGGGAAGTCAAACTTTAGTCATAATAAATGTGAATTTTAGAGTATGCACACGTAATGATGACTTGTTCCTAATGAGTTGTTTTGGGGGGTGCATTTGCAGGAATGAATCAGTTTAACCCCATGTCCATAGGGAATGTACAGATGCCACAGGCACCCATGGGACCCCGCGCAGCTTCTCCGATGAACCATCCTGTGCAAATGAACAACATGGGCGCCGTTCCTGCGGTTCGTACTGCTCCTTCCCAAGTTCCTCTCCAAATCGGTCAATTGGTTTTAGCGGTGTTTAATGGTGTTCTGAAAAGGCCGTGTTGTAGAGTAGTACTGTAAGTTGTAGGATAAGTTCATGGGAAGGTGCAGAGTGTGTGAGGTTTTTTTGAGGCATTTAAATATTTGTGTTTTGGTTTTCGTGGTTTGTTTTTTTTCAAAAAAAAAAAAAAATCTCTAGAGAAGTAGGTGCCAGAGATGCAAGAATCTCTAACAGGCTAAAAAAAAAGTAGTTCTTTCAGAAACTATGTCTTTGCAATATATATACACCTTGTTTATTCCTCCACAAAAATATAGTTTTATTCTTTAGAAAAACAATATTTCAGGTTCACTGGATTACCTCTGTTAGCTTGCAGAACAAGATTGGAATTTTTACACTCTTAGTAGTGTTTGAATATTACCTGTTCAAAAAATACCTTTTCCGTCAATACTGTGAAACAAATGCCAAAGTTATGTGCATGTCCCCTCTTGCGTTTGGTTTACTGCAACCAGTTTGTCTTTTTGTTTTTTTGGCCTATCTTCTGGTCAGTTACACGGAGGGTATTTTCCTTTGTCTTGCTATAGAAAACTAAATAATGACACGTGAATTTGGGTGTTAATTTTTAGATGGCGATGTCTCCTTCCCGAATGCCTCAGCCGCAGAACATGATGGGAGCTCATTCCAACAACATGATGGGTCAGGCTCCTTCCCAGAACCAATTCCTGCCCCAGAATCAGTTTCCAGCATCCACTGGGGCTCTGAATGTGAACAACGTGGGCATGGGTCAAGCAACGGCCCAGGCTGGGGTGGCACAGGTAAGATGTATTTTCTAATAGTTACTTAGTCTTAATTATTTTGTTCTAACTTATTTAATCTTTACTGTTCATTGTAGTTGCCCCTGACTTTGGGGGATCCTGGTTTACATACGCCTTTTTACTAATCTTTTTTATAACCTACCTACATGTACTAAGTGGAGAGCAACACTCTTTAATTCCTGATTTAAATTCTAAAAATAAAAAATCAAAAATGCGTGCTGATGAGATTTTTAGGGGGGATATCAGCTGTTAGTTCATGGGACGTTAATGTGCATATGCTTTTGTCATTATGTGGCCCTAAGTAGCTAACTTTAAGTCAAGAATTACAATAGTGTGGTTGGGGAAGATCTTCTGAATTTGAGAAGCTTGGGTTTTAACTTGAGAGTCCAAGTAGTTTAGGTTGGTTGAGACTTTCAGAGTTCTCTAGTACAGCTTCATTCTCAAATGAGAGAGAACTTAGAACAGGTTACAGAGGGCTCTGCTGAGTCAGGTTTGGAAAACATTCAGGACAGAGCATCTACGATCTCTTAGGCTCTGGCTCAGTTGTTTGACTACCTTTGTGGTGAACTTGTTTTTTCCCTAATGCACTTGGTTAAATAAAACTATGTACGGGCAATACTAAAGCATGTTTTACATTTGAATCCTCTTCTGCGGGGAACTACTAATCGATTTAGATTTGTAGAAACAAGTGGTACATCTGATTCTTTTTTATCACTAGTTATCTGATGCAATCTTTAGTAAAATGTATAGTATAAGAGTCTGTGCACACCCAGAATACTTTATTGTTGCTGCTCTGCAAAACAGATTCACAGTTTCCTTAAGTATCTGGAGTTACCTAATAAGAATTTTTTTTTAAAAAAAAAGGAAAACAGAAAAGAACCCTCTCAAGTCTTGTGTGATGGGGCAGGCATTGTATGTGTTGAACTGTCTTCCAAGGCAGGGCTGCTCTGGAGTCCTGGCCCATTTTGTATGTGGAGTCTGACCTTTGCCCACCTAATGGCATGATTTATAGTTTGTCTGCCTGTGGGTTTCTGTGTTCCTCGGAGATACTGAGGATTCTCTCTCTGTGCTGGTAGAATTAATGTAAAAAGATGTACATGGCATATCTAGGTCTGGGAGCAAGGACTGTAAGTGAGTGCTGGTGAGAACGAGAAGTCAGAGGGTAGTCATTTGCAATCAGAGCAGTTGTTTATAGCTGATCTCGCGTTTGGACTTAGAGTACACTTCTAAAAACTTTGGTGCTGTGCTTCGAAGGGTAAGTGCAAGTCCCAGTTTTGGGAATCACAAATCTGTAAGCGAATCTCTCTTTCTCTCTCTCTAGCAGGGGCAGGTTCCCAGTGCTGCTCTTCCCAACTCCATGAACATGCTAGGACCGCAGAGCGGGCAGTTACCGTGTCCACCGGTGACCCAGCCGCCCTTACATCAGACTACGCCTCCCGTGTCCACTGCTGCCGGGATGCCACCTATGCAGCACCAAACGCCAACTGTAATGACTCCTCCTCAGCCAGCAGCACCCACTCAACCATCGACACCGGTCTCCTCTTCAGGCCAAACACCAACGCCGACGCCAGGTTCTGTTCCCAACGCAACACAGACCCAAAGTACACCTACGGGGCAGACTGCGGCACAGGCGCAAGTCACACCACAACCTCAGACCCCCGTGCAACCCCCGTCAGTGCCAACCCCGCAGCCTTCGCAGCAACAGCCGACTTCCGTGCAGGCGCAGCCACCTGGCACTCCAGTAAGTACCAGCCAGTTACATTTTCCTTGTGTAGTGACGTTCCGCAAGAGTTCTCCCTATGTGTAGCACTGTGTCGTGAATGCATAGAGCCCATAGCTGTCAATAGTAGCTTCTACTTTAGACCAAAGGGTTCGTTGCAGAGATGTGTAAAAGTGTGTGCGTCGAGATGTTCTCGGCATTGTTTGAAGGAGGGGGGTGTATTGAATGACTTGGAACTGCTCACAGTAAAAACAGCAGCAGTGTGCAGAAAGATGAGGTGTAACAGGCCTAATGCCATGTTTGACCTTAATGAGAATCGGTTGTTTCTGATCGTGAGACTTGCATAATTTTTTTTTCTTTTAAGATACAGTCAGGATGAATGCACGGTTCAAGGAATGTACAGTGTTTTCCTGGGCAGGTGTTTTCTCTGTAAAAGAAGCCTCTTTGAGGCAGCATTCTTCCCTGGCTTCTCCTCTGTAAAGCAGAGTTATTAAATGTTTGATATTGAAACTTGGCTACAGTGAGCTCCTGTATCCATGTTCTGCACTGTTTTGGAATATCATCTTATGTCTCTTTTTTGTGCTGTTCATTTTTAGCAAAGGAAAATATTTCTATATATGCAGTGTCTTTCTTTTGTACTGTTTTTACAACAGCTATCCCAGGCAGCAGCTAGTATTGATAACAGGGTCCCCACCCCTGCCTCAGTTGCTAGTGCTGATACGAATTCCCAGCAACTAGGACCAGATGCACCAATGCTAGAAAGCAAATCAGAAGTTAAAACTGAAGAAACTGAGCCAGAGACTAGTGAGACACAAGTGGAAGCTAAGACTGAGGTAAATGAGATTCTATACAGCTTAACTGAAAGCAGTGATAGATATAAAAGCACTTAATGATGTGTCCGGATCGGTGAGCTAAGGGGCGAGAGGAGGGTAGTTACTGGAAAGTAACTGTCCTGAGGAAAGCCATGGATGGAGAGTGCTTTGACAATCTCAAGCTGATACTTTGATTACTGAAGTTTGGGTTGTAGACGTAATCGTGCATCTCGTTGCATCCTTTCTTAAGGTGGAGGAGGATTTACAAGGATCTTCACAAATAAAAGAAGAAACAGATGGGACGGAACCGAAGCAGGAGCCAATGGAAATAGAAGAAAAGAAGCCTGAGATAAAAGTAGAGGCTAAAGAGGAAGAGGAGAGTGGCACCAATGGAACCACTTCGCAATCCACGTCGCCATCTCAGCCCCGCAAGAAAAGTACGTGTATGAAAATTGAGTTTCTCCTGTGTGCTTTGTTTTTGCTAGCAGTGGTTTTCTGTGGTCTCAGCTCATGCTGGGAGGTCTGTTTTGCACACGTATTCCACCACATGGAGCTCTAGGAGATCAGTACTGCTGCCTAACTTATTTTTGAAAGTAGGATTCCTTTAGTGCTTCATGAATCACAGGTGAGAAAAGCGTGTAACTGCAGCCTTGATACCAGTGGCCTTCTGGCAGGTTCCTGTTTCTGCCCAGAATGACCCAGGGGGTGATTGCTGGAGAAATTATACACATAAATCTCTCCCTGTACTTCTTGGCCAACGCTCTTGCAGGCAAGCTCAGGGTAGTTAAGGGTCCTCTCTGTAGCCAAGGATATCCATTGCTTTGCTTTTCCTTTAGAGGCTGCACACGCCGCCTTTGTACGGAGATTTAGCGCTCAATTCTCTGAGAAGTAGGTGCTTGAACTCCTCTCCTGAATCCGTCTTCTGTGACTGGACTGCTGCAGTAGACTTCAGCTTTTTCACAGCATAGTGTTCATTTGAAAGCTTTCTCCTCAAATAGTTAGGTCAGTGGTCTCTTCAGTTATTCTACAGGGTTAGGTTAAATTTAGGTGTGGCCGTATCTGTACTATGTGTTTTTCCAAAAGGAAACTTGATGGTGTTATAGATCTTGCATGTACCTATATAAATGGTTGCATGCCCTGGGTTAGGAAAATGAACAAGATTCTCAAAACAGACATAAATAAATTACTCCACTTGTAGTGTAGACTTTTTGCAGAATTAAGTTTTTGAACTCAAAAACCTTGGCTTTTTCGAGATCTCATAGCATCTGCTTTGCTGAGATGCTGCTTTCTGTGGTTTGGTTTTAGTTTTTGACCAAAGGAAAGCTCTCAACATGCTGCAAGTGTCAGAAAAGGGAAAGTGATGGTGCATCTCATTGCTCCTCTTCCCTTGCAAAGGAAGCTGCGTGTAACTACGTTAAGAGAACACTATGGGTGCACGCTTTCCAGAATGTGATCGTGTAATCGTGGAGTGTTAACGTTTGTGCACTTGAGTCTTGATCTCCTGTATATGTTTGGGGTTACACTTAATTACTAAACATAATCTTTTTATTATAAATCGCTATAAACCACGCTTTCCTGTAGATGGTGTTTTCAGTTTGTAGCACTATGGGCCGGCTAAATCAGAGTGTGCTGCAGAGCTGACTGGCAGAGCCCGTTTCAAACAAAAAGTACCGCAAGGAGTGGAAAGCTTATTAGCATTTATAAACCAGTTGTATTCCCAGTGGAAGGAATTACTGCTGCTCATTAGGAGGAGTGTGCTTGCGAGTAAATTGAGGCGAGTGGTTCAAAGAGGAAGGTTCATGCAGAATTAGCCTGTGGAAGCTGCACTCTCTCGTTCTGCTGATTAAGTCTGAGTTACTACATATTTCCAATGCCTCCAAATCGAAGTCTTGGAACACACAATTTTATCTTGGAAAGATTGTCACCGAGTAACCGTATAGTATAATACGTGTGCAGCGTGGGCGGGTACAACCATACACGCAATTTTAAACAGCGACATTTTCTCACCAAGTAGTTTGTCCAACTTCGATAGAACGTTTGTATTAAAATGCTAAATAAACCAAGAGATCTTCAAGAGCAAATACTGTGAAGGGTACTTGAGGGTTATGTGATATTTTAAAACTATTTATCAGACTCGTCTGGAGTTCTGCATGGGTTACAGAAGTATTGGAAACTCTTCTTCCTTCCTGATTCTGGGGGTGCACCCCACAGTGTCCTGGGACGTCGCAGAAACGTGCTGCAGCTCCCAGGGGGAAGGCTCGCGGCTGGAAGCGCCATGAAGCGTGGGCTATAAGATAACTTAGAAAGTTGTGCCTCAGTACCTTCATGTTTGAAAAGTTTCCTCTGGACCCCAAAGGACTGCTTTTCTGGGTGCAGGTCCTCATTATTTTGAAGATGTCTTTGTCTTCATTTACAAATTTTCTCTTTAGGAATCTTAAGCAGGGTTTCCTCTGAAATAAAGATTTTAAAAAGGTAGCATTATACTCTTCTCTGGCAGATAATACGTCATCGTGATTCAGGCAAAGATCCCGTTTTCTTTTTACCACCCACGCATTCAAGACAAAATGGGATAACTGGATGCCAGCTCCTTACAAAGATCTTCTAGTTACGGGAGGAGAACTGAAAGCATTTAATTTTGGAAAATGAGGAGAGGGCAGAACAGAAACTTCTTGTAAAATCCCATGTATAGGGAGATCCTATGATCAGATATTCTGTGATTAGTCATACTCCTTGCAGGCAGAGCAGGTTTTTTTAATTGCTGAAGATGAAGGCAACTTTTCTTTGTTTTTAGGTGAAGTCGTAAACTGAAATAACTGGATTTAGATATTTATTTTTTCAAACTTCAAAATGCAAGTAGATTGTAAACTTTTATCATCAAAGATAATCAGACTTTGAGGAACTTGGCAAAAGTTGTGCTAAATCTATGTTTAAGATTGAAATTATTTGGAGAGGTACTCTAGCTTAGTGCTGCGTTGTTACAGGGGTCGATACAGGGAAAATTCTAAAAGCAGTGTAAAGCGGGTGGCCAGCATAGATTATTAAAGGGTACTTTTCGACCTTTAAAATTCATTAAAAGAAATAATTCAGATTTTCAGGTTATGAACTGCCTAAGCCAGAGCAGGATGGCTCCAGAAGCAATAAAAAAAATACTTTTCCTCATGAATGGGATTTAACACTTCCTTCTGTTCTTGAGAATTCCATAGCATAGTTTAGTAGTTGTTTATAAAACTTTTGAGACTATATGGCAGGATTCCTTTCCTAGGGGAGTGCCTATATCAGTAAATATGGAAAAGAATTGCCATTTTGTCACAACTGAGGTTGTGGCAACAGCTGAAGCGATCCTCTCGGAAATACCACCCAAATGAAAAAGGGATAAAAAGAACTTTTTAAAAAATTGTAGATGTTTAACTGGAAATTCTGAAAAGCGATCTATATTTTATGGGAATGCTGTCTGAGTGACAAAAGCAGTGATCAGCCTCGAAAGTGTCACTGTAGCCCTGGATTTAAGTGCTTTCAACGGAGCTCCTAATTGCTCCATTTTATTGGTATCGTTCTCCTTTCAGCCAGGTAGATAAATATTAGATGCCATCCTGCTTTCTTTAGCTGTCTTTTTCTCAATTACAAGCATTCTTCCCTGTTTAAAGTCTCTGTTCCTAAAGAAATAAATGTAATTACACTGCTGAGACGCTCAAAGAGCTCTCCCAAGTTATCATTATTTTTCAGAAAGCGCATTGCCTTTCTTGTCCTTGTCATCCACTCTTGAAAGAAACCTGGCTGTTGCCATGCCACTGTTGCCAAGTGGTTGTAATGATGCATAGAAATCTGGAAGTATTAACACTTTCAAAATCAATTAACAGTCCATTGGACCAGGACTGTTTGTATACTATGGCCAGGAAATTCCTGTGCCAGCTCTCAAGGCTTCTGGTTACTCTCTGTAGAGCTGGCTCTTCGGCCCCGTCCACTACGGTGGTTTTTGCTAGAAGAATCTTGGCTTGGAAATAGCAAACAGGGTTAGAAAGGAGGGAGAGGAAAATATGTTTAATCTCTTCTTGAAGAGCTGAGGTTCATCTGTGTTGAAGTGATTTAATTGATTGGTTCTGGGTAAGCGTGTGGTTTTGCTTTTGTTTTGGGGTTTTTTTGTTTTTTTTTTTTTAATGCACTAGAATATGTACAGTTATTCCTATCTCCTTGTTCTGGAACTATCACCAACTGTGATCTGAATCAACACAAAAGATGTGCGGTAGCCTCCTGATTGTAATTTTTGCCTCTAATCAGCCGTGCGGATCAGGAAACCCCTCTTCAGATTTTTACGTTAACACAGGTCTTTATTTTTGTGAGGGGAAATCAAGAGGTGAGGAAACACGGAAGGACATTTTCTAACCTTTCTGACTTTTTCTTTAACAGTTTTCAAACCCGAGGAGCTGCGCCAAGCTCTCATGCCTACACTTGAAGCTTTGTACCGACAGGACCCAGAGTCTCTACCTTTCAGACAACCTGTGGATCCCCAGCTTTTAGGGATTCCGGTGAGTTGGCATTATAAACAACCAAAAAATGTTTTTGTGTTTTGTGTTTGCTCGTGTCAACATTCTGTCTTTTCTGTTTGGCGTATTGTGAACAGTTGACCTCTTAAAACTAAAGGGTTTTCTGTGTCTTTGAAGGACTACTTCGACATTGTGAAGAACCCTATGGATCTTTCAACCATTAAACGCAAATTGGATACTGGGCAATACCAAGAACCCTGGCAGTATGTGGATGACGTTTGGTTGATGTTTAACAATGCCTGGCTTTACAATCGCAAGACTTCCAGGGTCTATAAGTTTTGCACTAAGCTCGCGGAGGTGTTTGAACAAGAAATTGATCCCGTTATGCAATCTCTTGGCTACTGTTGTGGGCGAAAGGTACGTATTCCATGGCTGGAGTGGCGTTCTTCCAAAGGGCTTAGCTTAATGAGTCAGAAAAAGAGCGGGTGCTTTGCGTACTGGCAAAAGTATGACTTTATTAGAAGCATGCTAAGAGCTAAAAAAGGGTAGCTAACATCCTTGCTGCTATCCTGTTGTTACTGTGTTTTTCTTAGAGAACGGCTTTTTTGACCATTAGCACCGTTAAAGTGCTTTGCTTATTTCCCATGTCTTTTGCAATACAATAGGTGGTTGGCAGGTTGGCTGTTTAACTTGCATAGTTAGTAATTGTAATTGAGTTGTTCTTATGTATTTACATAGCTTGGAAAAGTGTGAGAAGTGTAACAATGTGGCATGGTATCGATAGGCATCAGCTTTGCCTGATAGGATTAAGCTAAGATTGCCTTTTGACACTTCTTTTCTCACCGTTGTTTTGCAGTATGAGTTTTCTCCACAGACCTTGTGCTGCTACGGCAAGCAGTTGTGTACTATTCCTCGTGATGCTGCCTACTACAGTTACCAGAATAGGTAAGTCCTCAACTTTGGTTTTTTGTGGGATTTTTTTTTTTTCCTTATTCTGGAATTGAGATCCTTTGAATTCTCCGCTAAGTCAGGAGAAAGTTGTTATTTTTACATCTTTGCATGCAGTCTTTTCGCAGGTGACCCTTAGTTTCCTTTACTGCAGCTTGATTCGCACTGTACTTAAGTGCTTGCTGTTAGCCAGGCTGTGCCCCGCACCGCTTCGGTGGAAGTTGTCCGTGCTTTCCACAAAATGAGTAGCAGGGCTTGCTGGAGGGAGAAGGGCAGAAGAGCAAATAGTCACCGAGAAATCGTGTTACCTTGTTCTGAGAGAATTGTGAAAATATACAGGTTTGTTCTGAAGTTAGTGCCAAAATTTGCAAAGTAAAGGGTGCAGTGATTGCCAGACTTTGGTTCTCTCTCCCTAGTTAGTACTTAATTGTATTTAAATTAGCTGTGAATTGGCATTGAAAACTACCCAGAGACTCCATGAGAAGCTGTGAAAACAATAGTTTCTATTATTTTTTTAATTAGTATTAGGATTTGGTGCTTGTAAGATTATTAAACAATTGTTATATTATAATACTAATTTTCCACTTAGCGCTTAAATCAATAGTTCTGTTATGATGAAGCAAGCTTAGAACTTTGCTTTGATTTTGGTTTTGGTTTCTTAGATGTTCCTCCCCCCTCAAAAAAAAAAAATATACGCAAACCATAAATGGGCTAAGACACAAACTTTTGAAACAAAGTTACAAATTGCTTTCCAGAGGCTTGGCATTCTTGCCAGCTGTGCTCAGCGGGGTTATCTAAGTCACAAAACTAATCGGCGCTTGCGTTTAGTGTCCCTGAGGGCAATCCCGACACGCCACCAAACGCCGCAGGGTGGTGTGAGGCTGTTGGTACCACCTGGCTGAAGCAGCACAGTGTGGGAGCTGAAATCGTGTCACCTTACATTATATGTAGAGTTTATGCAGCCTCTGGGAACTCCAAAAAAGTCAGTCCGAAAGCAGATAAAGCAATTAAAACGCATGCGAAGAGATGGCACTTCAGCACTGGAAGCGGAGGAAATACAACCCTTAAATACTGACTCTGCGTGGTAGAATTTCAAATACTTTTCATATTATGAATCCAGGTAGCAATCTCAGTAGCAACTTCAAAAATAATGGACAGCAAGGTCATTTTTCTTTTAGTTACACGTTTCCTGTTTAAGTATGCATTAAATGGTTTGGATTACACGCAAGGCGAGGTTGGTGGCTAGTTGGCTAGTGAGAAGTACAGGGTTGGTGGGGCAGTGGGTTCCTCTGGACTCGTGATGCAGTATTTCGGTTTCCTACCTGTTAGAAATGTGACAGTCTGTTTACCTTGAGTTTAATCTAAAGGTGGAGTAATAAAAGGGAGGTGGTTAGTCCAGGCGTGAGCAAGGCAGCAGCAGGACAGAAGTAGGTGTAGGTTTCTGTTCATCCAGATGTCCTGAGAAAGGGTTGAGGTTTGGGGATTTCAGGTGGTTTGTGAGTTGTGGGGAGGGCTGAGGTTTTCTATTTCAGTCCAACTAAATCAAGCGATGAATTGGATTTTGGGTTGGGTTTTTTAACCATTTATTCCTAAAGATCAGTCATCATCACACTTAGCCTGTATCTGTCAGCTGTATAGCTCAAACAGTCAAATTAACCGTTTCCTGTGACAGTGATATTCAAATCTTAGATTTTTTTTCTCCTCAACTGAGTAGCAAATCGGTGAAAAACAAATCCTGTGGTTCCAGCAGATCTTTAATTTGTCAGGTGTTCTTGACTTTTCCTCTTTACAAAACAGACAAAACTGAATGTACTTGAAGTCCAGCTATTGCATAACTAAATTACAACTAAGAATATTTAGGCACCATTGAATAAATGATCTCTGGCACTACAGTTCAATGACTGAAAGTTAATTATTTGGGATAGAACTGTTTGACTTCCATATAAGGCAGAAGTTTACATTAGTGTTCAGAAAAATACACATTGTGTATGAATATTCGGTTGAGAAAACTGATGTTTTGTATCAGTACCGGCATCCAATTACTGATTTAGAATTTCCTCTGAATGCACTTAATTACAGTGGGAAATTCACCTGTTAATGCAGAGATAGAGCATTGTCTGGACTTTGGTGTTGAACCATAATGTTGCTCTTTGATAAAGGGGAATCAGTCACCTGAACAGTCTGCATTTGAAAAGCTTATTTTTGATGTTGTAAAATAAGTACGTTCTTTGGATTTTCCGTGACTGTTACAATTGTTGTTTGCTTTCCATGGGTTCTCCTGAGTATTTGTAACAACATGCAAAAGTCAGTGGGTTTACAAGCAAGTCTCTGTTTCTGAGGGTCCATACTCATAGGTTACAGCTATTGTTTCACCTTGTTATTTTATGGACTCATGATCTTTAGGTGATTCATTTTCACTGTATTTTCAATTTTTATTTCCTCATTTCGATATCATGCATTAAGGCTCGACTCTTGCTAGCGTTAAGTTACACTGCAGAACCGAAGCCTCGAAGGCAGCCTCAGTTTTATCAGAATTTTGAAAGCTGATAAATTATTCTGGAAATGGATCAGAATTAACCTTTTCTGGAATTGTTTAAATGTAGCAGAGTTGTAATAGAAGCTTTGACCATGGATTTTTTTTCTGACTCCTGTGTTTGGGTCCTCTTGCGTTTCAGTCCTTCCCAATCAGGCTCTTGAAATGAGCAGCCTTGTTAATAAGGAAGATAATTAATGGTTTGGGATTTTTTTTTTTAATTGAATTAAAAATTAAAGCAGTACATTATAGGGAAAAGGACACGGACAACATGTAAAGAAGCTGTCACATTTGGATTTCTTTCAAAAGAATTATTAGATCAATTTAAGGGTACGGAGTGAGGCGCACGTGAAATCGGTGTAAATGCAACGTGCAGTGTCTCCCCTCCTGAAATTGCCCTGTGATATTCCTGCCCAATAACCAGCGTGTATATACAGTCATTCCCAATGATGACAGACTAATGGAATACATTTTTTATTTTTTTCCCCTCCTGCCCTTGTCCTGTTGCATTATCAGCTCCAAAAGCCTCGTTTGTTTTTTCTCTTGGGAGGGGACTGTGTTGAATCCTGAGCTGAGCTGCCCCGGCAGAAGTGACTTGCAGTTTCGCTCGTGGTAGGGCTGGCAAGCAGCCCACCGGGCGGGGAGCCGGGCATTTCGCCTCACGTGGCTCCTATCAAAGAGGCAGCTGCCCGGCTGCTAAGGTGATTACGTGGATCTGTCAGTAACGGGCTCTATTAGCTAGAATAAAATACACCTTTTTCCTCTTTTGTGCCGATCCCCGCAGCAGAGGGGAGTCGTCGGCGCGTCGCTGCGTTAAGCACCCCTTGGCCAGCCGGGCAGCTCTTGAAGCCCGAGCCAGCTGGCGGCGTTCACAGAAGTTTTCAGGCTCTTGTAAATGACGCTGTGGTAACGCAGCCCCGGCTCTGGCCCGGGGAGGACACAGATCGCTCTGCAGATCCCCCTCCCCGCCCCGCC